AAAGAATTATTACGAGAATTTTTAGTGTTACCATTGTGAGATCAATAGGATGATCCTCGCGATAATAATCCAAGCATGCATCGGGTCAGGAATGAAATAAAAGATTAGGAAGTTAGAGCAGGGAACGATTGTGAAGAACGCAAAAAAATGGTGCAACGAAAGATTGTGGAAAGAAGCAATAAAGCAGCATATAGGTGCAGAAAATTTCGATGCTGAGCTATATTCCATTTTAAAGACGTCTTTACAATGGATAGAGCATAATCCAGTTACGTAAGTATTTCTGCATCCATAATCTGTGTTATATAGATTACAGTAATAATAATCTTTACAATACAATAACGAGGAAGGTTGTTTTGGGAATAAAGCTGTTGCGTAATTGAAAGGTAAAAATACGTGTCGTCTCAAAACTGGTGAGTTTATGATCTACACAAAAAAAAACGTGTTTTTACGCTTCAATGACAAACACTCTAGAATTGTATTTAGCTGTGGCGGGTTCATGATTTAATAGTAAGCGAGTTCATAATTTCAATGTGGGCAAGTTCACGATTTTATTTGTGGGTAAGTTAGTGATTTTAATGCTTGGCGATTCGTGATCTCAATAGTGGTGATTCATGATTTCAACAGTGGTGATTCATGATTTCACCAGTGGTGATTTTCAATAGTTTTACTAAGGTAGGTACTGTACGTGATTTTAACAGTAGTAAGTTCATTTTTAGGAAATAGCAATTTCAATAGTGAATAGATCATGATCTCCATAGTGGCAAGTCCGTAATTTCAATAATGCTTAAATTAGTGACTTCAACAGTATGTGATTTAGCTAATAATTATAATAACAGAGGGTTCACGATTTAACAGTTGATGGTTCGAACAGTAGATAGTTTGTGTTTTCAACAGTGGATATGCTCGTAGTTGAGTTAGTAAATTCAATGGTAGGTGGATTCGTTCGTAATTTTAACAGTAAGGTTTGAGTAGTGGATGGGTTAATTATTTAAATAGTGTGTGGGTTCATTATTTCAGCACTGGTTTGATTGGTTTCAGTAATGTAGACTTGTGATTTTACGATAAGTGGATTCATCATTTCAACAGTATACATTCATGGATTCAACAGTAGGTAGATTTGTGATTTCAATAGTAGTAGATTGCTAACAATAGATAAGTTGGTTCACGATTTTGGTAGTGGATAAGTAATTATTTTAATTGTGAGTTGGTGGGTTTATAAATTAATAGTGAATAGGTTCGTGATCTCAATAATAGGTTTGTTCGTGATTTTAATAAAGTCGCATTTTAGCTCAACAATGGATGAATTCATTATTTCAACAGTGGGTAGGTGGTAGATTCGTAATTTCAGCAGTAAGTGGGTTGCAATTTCAACAGTGGGTAGTTCATGACTCAAACAAAGAATGTGCTCATGATTTCAGCAGCAAGTAGATGAGCTCGCGATTTTAGTAGTGAAAAAAAAATAGCAATCTCGTTTGTACAATTTTAACAGTGATCAATAGTGGATGGGATCATGATTTCAATAATGAGTAGATTTTAAATTTAGTGGTATAGTAGGTAAATTTGTGTAGAGATACGACCCGGATGCTAAAACCTCATCCGGATATCTGGATACTTTTAAAATCAGATATCCGGGTGAATCCGG